TTTTCCAGTAATGTTGCTTTTTTGGAGCTTTTTCCACAGACCAACTCTCCATACAGAATCGAACGCCTTACTAAAATCGATGAACGTACAATAAAGTTTTTTTCCTAATGAAAAATATATTGAGATTAAAGAATACAATACAAACATGTTATCGGTTGTAGAATGACCCTTTCTAAACCCAGCTTGTGCACTGCTTATCAGGTCAAATTCGTCAGAAATTGTATTTAAACGATTATTAATAACCGAAGTGAAAACTTTGCCAAGGCACGAGACTAAAGTGATCGCTCTATAATTATCCGGATCTTTTGGATCGCCTTTGTTTTTATATACTGGTTTTATAATACCGATCTTCCACACTTCTAGACGAATCCAGATGCAAATCTTAGAATTATTTTATTTTATTTATCCTATTTATTCTTCATTAGTATTAGCATTGTAATTACGTGTAGCATTTCGAATATAAAGTTTATCAAGAATTTTCTCATCTATGTAACAGATTTCAGTTAGATTTCAATTTCATTTCATGATTAAACATAAATGACATATTAATTCTTTAAACAAAGTTCCGACGGTAACATTTTCTAACATAGATATACAAACTGCATATCAAAGGATTATACTAAATAAAGTACGTTTTGATAATGATTTTAACATACCGAGGAAATTATCATTTTTTTTCCTCTATATTTATATCTATATTTAATATGTTCATCAAAAGGTTGTCAAACATTTAAAGTATAACTCCACCCCAAATATATATATATTCTACTTTAATTGATCTTGTATTTGAGGTTGCCACAGCGGATCCCTTAATGTGATATTTTTTACATGAAGGGTTACCACAAACCCTACAGAGGATAGCTGTATAGTTACACGTATGAATGGCGGCAAAATAAACCCCTCTTTCTCCTAATACAAATTAGTTCTTTAGTCATCAAATAATGTGTATTCTATTTATTTTCTTTCAAATTTGAAATATGATGAATTGATCGTGTTTTTTTAGTTCAGTATAATTGATATTTATAAGCTTAAACCATTTTTAAAATAAAACCTTGACCATGAGCAAAATTGTGAGGCTTTATTCTTGAAAAAAATATTTTCAAATTATTTTTCTCAAATATTTTTGTTTTTGTTTCGGATAATAGTGACCCGTTTCACATCGAAGTTTATCTTTTCAGATATAATCAGTCCTTTAATACCTCCAATTTAAAGTGTTACATACATAAGCATGTACTTTCGTAATTAAACATACTTATGGACAAACTTATATATACGTAAACCGCTTCCAGTCGCGTGTTATCAATCATGTCCATCATGTTCTGCTGTATTTTGGTTGCATGATTGAAACTTTTATGAAAATGAACAATACATGTTTGTTTCGTCAAAACTACGCGAGAAATGTGTGGTACATTTTCAGATAGTTAGACTGTCAATCATTCTGAATATTTTGAAGAATATTTATATAATTTTCTTTCACGGAACACATAGCTGATTTTAAATATTTGTGCACTTGTTGAATTGTGTTAACTAGTATCTTTTCAATGTTAAGAAAATAACTATCCACACCATGCTGCATAAGAAATGATGGCGTCGACCACAATTAGAACGATTTTTGACCTGGAATAACGAAAAGTAATAATTTATTTCGAATGCTCTACCATTCGGAGACTGTAAAAATAAAGAGGTACGGGTAATTATGCAGATATGTTTACGTCGATTTTAGGCAATATTGACAGAAAACTTTTTTTTCTAGTAATAATTTGAAAGAAGTTCCTATTTGTTGCAATGCTATCACATATTTGGTTAATCCTAAAAAAACAGCTAATCTACCAGCTAACACTTTGGAACAGCATCAAAAAAGTATGCTCTGTATCTGCGATCAAATCATTTAACTAAACATGTATGTTTATTCATGTATATTAGAACGCGTCAGAGAAGAAAACACACACACAAACGTGCACTTTACCTATTTTGATTTTTTTTCGTCATTCACACACGGAGAGTTCTTATGCGCCTAGCAGAACTTACAACCAAACGAGGTGGGATTTCAAAGCGTGTCAAAATATTGTGAGACCCACCCATAAATTATCTAATCACTTTGTATTTAACATTCTATAAGTCACAACAACGCGAAAACAAGATAATAGATACTGCTTTAAAATATCTACACTCTGTGAAGCCGCGGTTTTATAGATACATACTATTTCTTAGAATCCAAGTTGGTAGTCTTAATAATGATATACGTATTATAAGCTATGCAATTACACTGCTTACACCAGTGGTACACTAAATGTAAAAACAGTTTCAAACACTGTGATTTAATGCCAGTTTGGAAATTTCAAGAATGAGCCAGTTAAAATTTCGCTTGAATTAATTTAGGAGTTAGCTTCGCTTGAATTAATTTATGATTTAGCGATTAAGAATTGTTTATGAATATGTATTTGATCTAAAAAGAACATTGTAAATATAAGAGATAGAAAGACATGATTTTGGATATAGTGATATGTTCCCATACTGTAAATAGTGGTGTACGTGTACAGTTATTCTACTCTCGGTGCCTTAACTTTATTTGTCAATCTGATCCGTCTTTGTACATTATTCTACATATATTACGAAAAGAAAACAAATACTTTCAAATAAAGTACCCCCCAAAAAAGCCTTTCATGGGATCATTACATAATATCATCATAATTTCCACATCTGCGTTCAAAGTACATATCATTGGTAATGGGTTGTGTTTAGTGAAATGATAAAATTAATTAGGGTACTATATAAATACGGTAAATGTCTTACCTCTCTCCCCAGTACGTGTAATGCACAGCGTTGAGGGAGTCTCCCTGCTGTCGGTAGGGGCCGAACGGAAAGGGTCCCGAGGGATTCACAGAGTTATAGTCGTTTAGTTGGGAGTAGGTGGTCCCTGCACTTGGAGAAAGCTGTACGCCCGAGGGTAGCGGATTGTACCCACAGGAGCTGAGGGTCGATCCCGGAGGGGGTACTCGAGCCTGCGTACAAGAGTTAAAGTTACTGATCTGGGACATACCCATACCCTGGTGTGCTGAGGCATTGTGGGTAAGGGCCCAGGGTGAGTATTGTGAATATTGAGAGTAAGGGGGTGGGGAGAAATAGGGTTTCGTTAACTGAGCAAACTGGTTATAGGGACCGCAGTGGTTGTCAGCAAATAAGGGTTTTGGAAGAGATATGGCTGCTCTGTACGGTCGCCGCATCCTTCGGCGTCGGCGGTAATTTCCCTTTTCGAACATGTCGTTAAAAGCAGGGTCCAATGTCCAGAAGTTTCCTTTCCGTTCACCACCGCCTTCCCTTGGTACCTTGACAAAACACTCATTCAGACTGAGATTGTGTCTGATGCTGTTTTGCCACCCCTTCTTGTTTCTTTCGTAGTAAGGAAATTTACTGATAATGTACTGGTAAATTCCGCTTAGTGTCAGTCGTTTGTCACCAGATTCTTTGATTGCCATGGCAATTAAGGCAACGTATGAAAAAGGCGGCTTTTGGTCCGGATCCGAGTATTTATTACTGTCCTCTTCAAACTTCCGGCATTTTGAATCTCTTTGAATGGACATGATCGGCGTTTCCTCTTTAACTTTCGTGTCGTTTTTCATTGGTTTCGGGTCCTCGGTCTCCGGAATCTTGTCCTCGCAGTGTTGGTTATTCTGGAGCCTGGCTGCTACACCGTACGCCACTTTCGAAGAATACTTGTAATGCGGTGACGATAATCCACTCCCAACATGCTGTTTCCAAGTTTTTGTAGCATCACTGGTATTGTCAATATTATCACTGAAACCCTCTGGTCTTTTTCCTCCTCGAAACAATCGAAACTTTATGTCCATGAAATCGGCATTTTCTTCCATCTTGGAGTCGTAAAATGACAAGGCCATCGGACCAGCAGGTCTGTGTGTAAGTGTTGATACTGACTCCGACAAACGTCGTGTGATGTTCAGTAAGGTTATCGAGTGACTCTGATTACAAATCTATCCAAACAATTATTATTGTTGTATACATAAATAAATAACTTTCGACAGAAACAAACAAAAGTGTCTGCGCAACTCTTCCAATGGAGCATCGAGCACCGTCAACTATTCCGACGCTAACAAGTTATTGAAAAATAATCATAATGTTTGTATATATACCGCTTATCCCACCTCACTGATCACGTGACATGTGTAGGGGGTGCTAGCCTGTCAATTTCCACTTAATACGACAGAAATGTACTTCCCATATGATGCTCACCGCATCAAGTTTCCGCCGTCACGAGCTGGCATTTCAGCCAGCCAATCAGCGTCCCTCGACTCCATAGATTTCTGTGCAGAGCAGAGTTACGGAAACAAATGCCAGTGTTTACATAGGCATACATTACAGCTAGTCACTAACTCTAAACACATTCCACTAACGACCGTGTCCTCTTCTCATTTTAAATCTAAGTTGACATCATTTTCAAAACAGTCTATTATAACTTCTTCAGAACTCTGACCGGAATATATCTGGTCAGTGAAATAGGAAATATGGGTATATCATCTCGCCTGCTGCACCATTCGCTACTTTGCTTATACGAATGAAAATATAAATACACAATTGAAATAAAGTTATTTGTATTTGTGTTTGTATGATTATTATATCTTATACTTCATGTTTATGCCTATTGTCATTGTCAAAAGCTTATACTCAGTGGTTTATGTTACTCCGAATGCATAAAAATACAATCAGATAAATCAATAAAATATGTTTAAAGGTAAGAATTGATTTATCTGATGATATTTTCATGCATTCGGGGTAACAAGTCGCGTTATCTTTGTATGTGAATTTGTGTTAAAGTCGAATCCCTCAGATACCGTATTTTCCCATGATAAACATAAACCACTGAGTATAAGTTATTGTTTTATTGTATTGTGCCGATCCCGTCAGTAGTGTTTAATTTTTTTTACACAAAATACTAGGTTTCCTAACGGAAATATTAAATATTTAACAACTATTTGTCCCACAATAAACATGGATGTACCTATTCCTATTGTCAAACAACTATATTTACATTCGCCCTACACCCTTCCGTTGCAATGTATTGAGAAGGCAACTGCTGTTGCGGATATCAAAACATTTTCTATTGTAACGGCATCAATTTCATTGTTGTCAAGAATTAAGTTGCTGTTCAAAGATAACCAAATAAAGCGTAACTACTCTATAAAAATGTAAATATAAATAATGAACATTTTAGCAAATACTGTTATGGTCATATAACACACATTTCTATTTTTGACAAACTTTCATAAAGCCCTAACCCTTTCGGGCTGTATTAAGTATAATATCATAAGAACATTTGCTAAAACATGCATTGCTAAAACAACATCCATTGTCATTTGATCAGCTAGATTCTATTGTAGGATCAAAATACATCGTACCATAGGTTTTGATATCGTACATAACTTATCCATTATAAAATAATCGTCTTAAATTATTTGCAAATTTAGAACTTCAAATACTAAGCTTCCAGTAGAATCAGTAAGATGGGTGGGAACTCAAAGACGAGCCAGAACATGCCCTCTCTGTAAACTGGCATTGGAGATGAGTTTCATTATTTGTATACTTGTAATAACGATAACGCAGTCCAGTAAGGGAAAAACATATTCAGGCCTATTGTTATACAAGTCCAAACCAAAATAAAAGGAAAGAAATATTCACAGTTTTTAATAATAGGTTGTTAAGGAATGTAAGCTTATATGTCCAATGTTCAAAAATTAACAAACTATTATAGTGTCTCTATTCTATAAGGTTTTTTGTTTGCTAGTGATATTCTATAAACATTGAACACATACTTATGTGTATGTAACTATGGGATATGATATGATGTATAATGCTTGCCTGTCATGCACTCAAACTATGTTATATAGACATGACTTCTTGTTACACACACGTATGTGTGTCTGAGTGAAAATCTTGGAAATCTTAACAATCTTATTGTACATTGAGTATCTATGGTACATTAACACTTAAACAGAATGATTTGATATACATTAACTATCTATTTAGAGTAATTAACTACTTAACGCACGGTTATTGTTTATGCAATGTAATAATCTAATGTACAGAAATTGATTAGTGTACAGTAATCGTCTATCAGCACTTACTCATTGTGCCTTAATTCCTTTTGTGACGTTAATTATCTATTGTGCAGCAAACACCTATTGTTCATGAAATATGTATCATAGTGAACAATAAGTATATTTTGTACATTCATATGTATTTTACCGAAATAACCTATTCCGTCTTTGCGTATTGCAGAGTTATCTTCTCTTGAGAACAGGTATTGATTGTTACGTCATTGGTTTGTGTGAGAAAATTACGTCGTTTTCTCAAAAATTGATGACGTTACTCTCACAAACAAATGACATAACAATCAATGTTCTCAAGAGAAGATGACTCTGCAAAACGCAAAGACGGAATTGTACACATTACAGTTTTTTGTTGCTTAACTTAGTGTATATAAACTTTTTTACAGTTATTATTTATTATATAGTGATTATTCTTTGTACAGTGATTTATTATTTAAGGAATGATCAGCGTATGTGCTTATATGTGTTGTAACAACATTTTCGAATCCCGAGTTTTGTTTTCCACCATAATTATTACAATCATATTTTTATGTTGGTTATGTCTGTTCTACAAGGTGAAATGTAATGATAGGGTTTTTTGGTGTCTAATTCAGGGTCCATACGCCAATGATGAGCAAAGTGACCTAAATAACCTACTTAAATTAGGTCGTCATTTGCGAGAGCTAACATTTGTTACGTGATGCCTATGTGTCTTCATTGCACAAGCTGTGCGTTTTATCATATCTGACCCAGTATGCAGTTGTCCTATTTTGTCTATTTAACCTGGATATATTTGGGAGTGATTTTTTCATTTCCAGTCGCCATTTTTGGTCGACAGACGATAAACAATTAACACTGACATCATGCGTTATACCAGATGTTTATATCGACATGAAATCGGCATTTGATAAGAGACAGAGACACAGTTTAGTTCACCTTCGCGGTAAGTTTAGCGAAACATTGTGACAGTGAGTTTGACAGGTTTTAAGTAGATCTAGAGGTTAAATAGAAACGTCTTTGCTTGTCCGCTTACAAATCTTCAAATAAATAGCTTATTAGTTTAAACTTTATTTTTATTGATGTTAAATTACAATAGTACATGGTTATAAATACAGAAAAGGATCCAGAAACAAGTACATAGTACTTATGAAAATCCGTCTCCTTATAGACATAACAGCAGCTATGGATCAGTACTGACAATATTATAATTCATATAAATAAATATATATATATAAAGTATAACATGTGCAGGGAAAAGAAAGAGACAGGGTGCAAGGATTTATAGTGGGATGGGGATGATGTTTGATGGGGAAGCGATGGGCATCAAAACTGCATTGAGAGAACAAACGCTGATTGCAAGAATGAAATTAAATGCGGGCACCGTAAACGAGGTCCGCGACTCGCTTGTTAGGATTTGCGGGCAGGTTTATTGAAAAGCGTTGGTCTGTTGGAAAATATTGCACATGGTTATTAACCAATGAAAAATGTCGTTACAACGCAAACGTGGTAGTAATAACATTAATCATCTATTGTGACGTAAATTATCCGTTGTTCAGTAATTATCTACTTTGCAGTTATCCTTAATTATCGTACAGCAGTGAATAATAGGGTAGTAAGTATATCACGGTAATCATATAGTATACAGTCATTAGAACTAAGAAGTTATTGTACCTAAGTATATATTTGTATATAAACTATAAATGGTACAGCAACAATGTTTTCTAATTTTCTATGGCACATTTTCTCACCTATTTATAGTGATAATCAATTATTGTACAGTAAATATCTTTTGTCGGTAATTTCCATGGCTCAATTTTCATTTATTTATAGTGATAATCAATTATTGTACAGTATTATTTATAATTAATTTTCTACGGCAAACTACTCATCTGTTATTTTTTTTATAGATTAATTTTTATTTTTACATTTATTTCTATGGCATACCTCTTTTAATTTTTAGTAATTATCAATGATTGTACTTAAATTTTATACGGTACAGTTGTTTTCAATATTAGTTGTACCGTGACTGAGAACGGCTTATTTACTGCGTACAAACAACATTTGGATTTTCTACTACAAACAAATATGGCTGAATTATCTTCTGAAAACAAAGTTGACTTGCTTATCTTTAAAGAGATTATAAATTGCTGGATAAACTCCTGAAAAAGAAATATGTTATTATCGATCGAGAATAAGAATAGCTGGATTATCACACTGAGGTCAGGGATGTTTCGATTATTGTTAGCTCCGCTCTTTATTATGTTTTATATTAGAAACTAAGACGTTCAAAACACCGTATAGTGTGGTGATAAAAACTTACCATGGACAGTTTAGAGCAAAGCCTTCCAAAATTGTACCATAGATTGGAAAATTCTTGGATAAAGATGGCGTTAAACGTTATAGTTTTTTTTATCGTGGTTTGTCATGTTGAAGATGCAATAGCTACTGTTTCATAACCACAATATTTATATACAGCTTTCCTCCATTGACTGTGGTTGATTTGTGTATTTAACCTGCTAATATTTTGTCATGACTAATACGGGGATAGCAGTTAGTTGTTCCTATATAAAACAGGTAAAATACATATTGTTTGAACTAAATTGATCGTATTGCACTAATTGCCCATGTGGAAATATGCCATATCCATGATTACAAAGGGGAACGGTAAACACAGGTTAACTATATCTCAATCAATAAGGACACAGACTACCGATAATTACTAGAAATAGGAAGTCAAGAAATACACGTATCAAAGATGTTAGTAAGACTGCGATGCATGACAATCTCGTCCACTTGATGTCTCATCAGCAGAATTAATGGTCAATGGAATTGGAGGTCAGGTCTTAAGTGTTCCATAATATGAACAAGTGCAGAAAAGGGGAAAAGATAAAAACAATTTATAACGCTATAATTATACCTTTTTTCTACACAGTCATTAACTTTAACTAGTATTTCGTGTAAATCATGCTAGAAACCATTCAACTACAAGGCTAGGGTT